CATCTGCAGCCTGAATGGTCATGCATCATGCCTAGGGTGTGACCTAGCTCATGGGCCAGGAGGTTAGTGAAGCGGGTTATGTCTTCATGATAGAAGGAGTTAATCGTTGCAGCTCTGTAATGTGTACAAACACCTTTGGAAATAGGCATCACCCATTGCACTTTTAGGATGATGCCCGACGATCAGATGGGCACTATCATGAATCAGCCCTATTGAAGACGTTGTTGGCCATCCATATGTTGAAAGTTATAAGGGCGAACCTTATATCTGTTTCTGAAATATAGGCATTTTTCTCTGTCCAGATCTCCAAACCAATCAGGACGACTCTGGTGTTGAACTCATAGGTCAAGCTGTCTAGCTGTGAGACGACGTCCATCACCTTCTGGTTGTCTTGTCACATTTCCGCCCACTTTCCAACCTTTTCTTGTCAACCACAATGTACGTCTCCACATACTTGGTGTGTGACCAATATAATACATAGGGGTTTCTCAATTTCACTCTCTCTCTCATCCATATCACCTACATCTTCTTTCCCTTTTAAATGGCTCCTGAATTGAAGAGGTTCCCTCTTAGGTCCCTTGCAGGGATCGAATGTGTCCTTTTTCATTTTGTACAGGACGTGTTCAAACTTACTTGAGGCATCAATGGGCTCAATGTTGTAGACTGTTTTCTCTATGGTTATTATGCCCTTGAGGCCAGAGCAGGTACTGAGAGACACTAGGGAGCCCAGATCACTTTCCACATATCCATCATAGTAGCAGTCATCTGGGAGAAAAGGCATGTCCAAAACTAGCTTCCCTTTGTAGTAAGTGTAGACAGGGAAGTTCTTAGCAAATAGCCCTCTCTTTTGTTTCAGATGAATCACCTGCCTCTTGCCTCTCATAAATATTGAATAGGAGATTTTTCTTGCTCCTTCTTCTCCTTCCCTGGTTATTAATCTCTTGGGGATGACTACTTCATAGGAAGTGTAATATACTGATCCCAAGGCACAATGAGTGCCTGGAAGGAGTACCGCTATCAACAGAAGGAAGAACCCCCAGCTGGCATGGGAGGACCCCAGCCCAAGACCCCACTCCCACATGGGGGCGCTCTGAAAGACAACTCTCTTTCTTCTTCATCCATGGCCACTTGGCTGCACAGGAGGGGAGTCAGGGGACACAGCTCGGGCTATGTCCCCAGCCCTGACCCCAGAGAAGCAACTGATGCTGCTGGGCCTCTGCCCTTAACTCCTCACCTGGACCCTGGTCCTCTGAGTGACATGATCTTGAAAGCTGTGTAGGCTGTTCATTGCCCTCCCAGAGAAGTCCTAGGATGTCAAGTGGCCCTCTGACTCCCTCCCATCTTGGGCCCTTAGGGTTCCAGTCTGTGTCTTCCTATGGCAGCAGCAGCAGCCTGGGCCCTCTATAAATCCCTCTGGTTTCTAGATAAGTTTCTTCAGCCCCCACACTGGATGCATTGACTGCAGATGGCCTCCTAGTATCTTGTCCCTGGAGAGAAGGGAAAAAAAAATGCCTCCCCTCCCTTTTATCCTCCATCACAATGGCAACCCCTCCCCCACCCTTTGTATCCCAGAGTTACAGAGCTGGGGTGGGGTGGGGCAAAGGTCCCTGGGGATGGCTCTCAGTTGGCTGGCTTTCTCCTTTGGCCAAAGCCAGTATTATTACTTTTGTTTCACACTGCCAATACTATCTCTGTCTCTGATTCAGAGCTCCCTCCATGCCAAAAGGTTTTGGCCTGACCCTTGATAGGTAGCATGAGACCTGTTTGAGCCCTTCCTCGCCCCAAGGAGGTTGAAAACCCGGACTGGTCAATCACAAGGGGACATTTTGTCCCAGTCTGAGTTAACATGCCATAATCCTTTGGGATGCTCTCTGAGTGAATCCAGAGTTTTCCTGCTAGATGAAGCTGACCAGAGCATTCTCCTGTTTATGACTGATGAGGGCCAGTCACTGTGAACCTGACACTATCTTGATGAATGGTATTTCTCTCATCTCATTGTTTTAGGGACCCTATCCTACCGTGACGCTCTCTTATTTTATGACGTTCTCTTGTTTATGGCTGACAGAAACCAGGCACCCTAGGGGCACTGTCTTGTTCTATGGAAAGTATAATTTTACTGACAAAGGACACAGGGGAAAGGGAGGAGGGAACAGTTCCTTGCTGTATGGGTATATGGTGTCCTTCAAATGGCCTTTCTTTGAGCTCGTTTCCCAATGAACTCCCTGGATGTTGTGCATGAATGTCTGCCTCTGTGTGAGAAATAAACATGCTCATACAGCCTAGCTCTGTTTGCCTCTCTTAGAATGAACACTGCAGGTGGACAGCAGGCAGTGCCCCCTGTCTAGGGACAGAGGTAGGAAAGAATTCTTTCTGCCAGGGAGGAAAGAATGAGAGACTGAGTCACAGGGGCTTCTGTATGCATACACTGTTTTCATTTTGATGGCCAATCAAAAAGTCTCATCACCACACAGTTAGGGGACAGGAAACAGTCAGATGACCTGCACCTGCTCTGAAGTATTGAGCAGGGCCTTCACCATGGTACATGCATGGAAGCAGACCCAGCAAACATCCATGCTAGGAACTGCATCAGGCAGAGCATGCTTTGCATGCTTTGAAGGCCTGGCCTCTTATTGGTCAGTGCTCCATTAGGTCGTCAGTAAGCACTTATTAAGCACCTAGTATGTGCCAGCCAATAAGCATTTATTAAGTGCCTGCTGTGTGCCAGACACTGTGCTGAGTGCTCACATACAAACAGAGGCAAAAAGAGAGTTCCTCCCCATGAGCAGCTCACAATGTAATGGGGGAGAAAACAAGCAAGAAGTCATATACAGGATAAATAGGAAATAATTAACATAAACTAGGCAGGAATTGAGAGGGATCAGAAAGAGCTTCCTGTAGAAGGGGAGATTTTAGCTGGGACTGCAAGGAAGCCAGAGAAGCCAGGAGGAGGAGGTGAAGAGGGAGAGTGTTCCAGGCTTGAAGGACAGTCAGTGAAAATGCCCAGAGCTGAGAAATGGAGAGTGTTGTTGATGGGCAGAGGGAAGGAATATATCAGGAGATGCCTGTGGTATAAAAACAAAAAGCATCAGTAAAACATGAAAAAAAAAATGAAATGATTCTCCTTCGATAGGCCCTTCAGGACAATTTGTAAACTCAAGCATAGAAGTGGTGTTACTTGTGAAAGAAAGGGGAGGCGTCTTTCTGCAGGAAGTGAAGAGAACTTCCAAAACTACTGAAAAGAGTTTGCAGGAAAGAATGGGTTGCATTAGGTGACCTTCGAAGTGCCATCCAACTCTGACAGTCTGTGATAGTGGACCCCCATCCATTATTCAGTTATTCCTCATCATCATTATTATTATCAGGGAGGCAGTTGGAGTTAAGTGATTTGCCCAGGGTCACACAGCTATTAAGTATCGAGCTTCTGTGGCCAGATTTGAAGTCGGGTCTTCCTGACTCTGCTACTGGTGCTCTATCCATTTTGACACCTATGGCCCCTTCAATCATCCATTATAATTGACCAATCCATTATCCCAAAAGTGTTCAGCAGCTGCTATGTTCTAGGCCCTGGAAATAGAAGTGCAAAGAACAGAAGAATGGAACTGTTAGGACCTTATACTAGTGAGACAACAACAAAAATATAAAGACATATATACCTTTATATGTAAAAATAAATAGTATAAATAAATTGTGAATCAATACAAATATACTCAAAGCAGTTAAATGCAAGGTGGTTAGGGAGGGAGAAGACTAGTACCTGGTGGGATCAGGAAAAGTTGAATGGGGAAGATGGTGCTTGAGTTAAAGAAGGAGAGAAGCTCCATGAGTCAGAGTTGAGGAGGGAGGGCATTTTAGGCACGGGGCAGAGCCAGTGCAAAGGTGTGGAGGAAGGAGACTCAGTGCTCTATGCAGGGAAGACAATGACGGCTACTATGGCTGGATCATGGAGTGGGAGAAGCAGAATAATGTATAATGAGGCTGGAGAGATAGGTTGGGGCCATATTAGTCAGAACCTTAAAAGCTAAACAGAGAAGGTTCTACTTGATCCTACGGACTATAGGAGAGCATCGACACTGAACATGAAGTGATCAGCTGTACGCTTGAGGAAGCTTCCTTTGGCAGCAGAGAGTAGCATAGACTGAAGTCTGAGAGATTGGAGGCAGGGACACCAATTAAGCAGCTGTTGAAATAGAATAGACAGGGGGTGAGTAAACTGAGGCACAGTCAGGTATGTTAAGTGACTTTCCCAGGGGGCAGAGAGCAAGTCAGTGGGCATTTATTAAGCACCAGCTAAGTACCAGGCACTTTGGTAAGCACTTAGGACCCAAAGATGGGCAAAGGTGGTCCCATCGCTGAAGGTGCTCCCAGGCTAATGACAACTGTGTACAAACAAGATACATAGAGATAAATTTGAAATCGTCACTAGAGGGAAATTAGGAAGAATGAAGAGAGAGAATTTATGTATTAAGAATTAGTTAGAATTACAAAGGGTTGAGAAAGGCTTCCTGTAGAAGGTAGGATTTTAGCTGAAACCTGAAGGAAGCCAGGGAGACCAGGAGGCAGAGGTGAGGAGGGAGGGCATTCCAGGCATGAGGGCTGGCCAGTGTAAATGCCTAGTGTCAGGAGGTGGAGTGTCTTGACCAAAGGAGGCCATTGTCATGGAATCACAGAGTAGGGAAGAAAGAGGAAGGCGTGAGAAGATTGGAAGGAGGAGGCAGGTTACAAGGGGGTTTTAACAGCAAACACAAGGTTTTACATTCGATCATGGAGGGCCCGAGGAGCCCTGGAGTTTACTGAATAGAGAGATGATAGGATCAGAGTAGTGCTTTAGGAAGATGAGCTTGACAGTTGAGTGAAGGATTGATTAGAGTGGAGAGAGCTTGGTGGCAGTGACAGAGGAGAGAAGTGTATGTATAGAAAAGGTGCCAAGAGGCAGAATGCTCAACATTTGGCAACAGATTAGGTACAGGGAATGAAAGAGAATGAGGAGTCCAGGATGACACTTGGTTTGGTGGTGTGGGTGACTGGGATCATGATGATGCCCTCAACAGTGATAGGACATGAGGAAGAGGGGAGGGTTGGGGGGATGCTGATGGGCCTGGTTTTGGAGATGTTGAGTTTAAGATGTCTAGGAGACATCCAGTTTGAGATGTTGAACAGGTGGTTAGTTGTCGATGTGACACTGGAGGTTAAGAGAGAGTTTAGGGCTGGAAAATAGATGCCAGAATCATCAGCATCGAGATGACTATTGAGGCTGACAAGATCACCTGTAGACAGAGAAGTGGAATCCAGGCAGAGACTTCCTCAGCAGACACTCACATTGAGTGGACATGACCTGGACAAACATCCAGCAAAGGCAAATGAGAAGAAGTGGTCCAACAAGTAAGAGGAAATCCAGGAGAGAGCAGTGTCATGAAAACTAGATCGATATAGAAGTCCTCCAAGATCGACAATGAAATGATGGGACTGGGGGGAAAATATCCCCGAGGGAAACTGTAGAAAGAGAAGAGGCCTGAGATAAGAGCCTTGGGCAATGTCGAAATTAAGGACATAGAGGAAAAGAACCCAGGGACAGAAGAGGAACAGGAGACGACGACAACTCAAGAAGACAGGTGAAGTGGACTTCAGGGCAACAGATGTGAGTAGGGAGAAAATTGATGGCATTCCCTCTCAGCATGGGAAGGCCCTCAGATATGTTTTCAGTCAAATAGGAGCTGAGGCCATTTGTTTTGAGTGATGGAAGGAAGGAGCAGGGATAAGACCTTTGATTTAGAGCAAAAGTCAAGGAAGAGAATAATCCCATGTGACAATCCCTATGAATACTGAAGATACCTCTCATGTCTCACATGGGCCTTCTCCAGGCCTTTCAGCATCCCTACTGTCTTCACATGACATGGACTCAAGGCCTTTCACCAACCTGGCCACCTTCCTGAGGATGCACTCTGATTTATCAATACTCTTCTTGAAATTGGGCAGCCGTGACCAAACGTAGTTCTCCAGATGGATTCTGACCAGGGCAGAGTGCAGAGGGCCCATTGCCTCTGTACCCTTAAACCCGATTTTCTTAAGGTAGCCTAAGATGGG